CGGTCCACCAGTGTCAGCTCCGGTCATGTTTGTTCTGGTCACAGGCCCGGTCCACCAGTGTCAGCTCCAGTCATGTTTGTTCTGGTCACAGGCCCTGTCCACCAGTGTCAGCTCCAGTAAGCTGTTTCCCAGCAGCACGTCGCCCCACGAGACTTCATTTGGTGAGGAGATGGAAGTTCACAGCCTGCTGATTGTAGACCAACACACTTTTGAAGGTGAGGGTTTTGCCCCATTGTTAAAAGTCAAGTTAACCTCCCCCATAAAAGAAAAGCACAGTCACTATGCTCCCCCTCCTGTGCCGCGAGAGCGGGGTCACTGTGGAGGTGATGAAGGCAGTGAGGGTCTGACCTGTTTCCCCGGCAGCAGGGAGAGTCTGCAGAGGTTTAATTTTCTGAAGTGACTTCTTAGGCGGTATGCCTGTGTCAGGGCAGGGTTTGCTCTCCCTGAGGCTGACTGCTCTGCTCTTCCCGCCAGTTCTGCACGCTCACCAGTTCCTGCCCAGCGAGTACGCCCTCAGCATGGTGTCCTGCCGTCTAGGCCGAGACCCTGCCGTGTACTTCGTCGTGGGGACGGCCATGGTGTACCCCGAGGAGGCTGAGCCCAAGCAGGGGCGCATCATTGTCTTCCACTACACTGACGGTGAGGCAGCGTGCTGGCAGTGCCCTGTGGAAGCGATGTAAAGCTTCTTTACACAAAGGGGGTTGGGAGTCTGGAACGAGCCACCCTGCCAGGTTGTGGATGGCTGGGTGGGATCCTGGGTTTTCGCCAGGCAGGATGAGCTGACGTTGCTGTCTCTGTCCCACAGGAAAGCTGCAGACCGTGGCGGAGAAGGAGGTGAAGGGAGCTGTGTACTCCATGGTGGAGTTCAATGGCAAACTGCTTGCCAGCATCAACAGCACCGTAAGCATCTGTCTGCCAGATCTGTTGCTGTCAGTTTTGCTTGTCTGAGTTCAGTCTAGAGAAGAGCAACCAGAAGGTTTGTCCCGCACGGGTGAAGGACAGTGTCCCACACTAACAGGCTGGAGGAACTGAGTCTCTTTAGTCTGAAGGGAGTGTCCCACACTGACAGGCTGGAGGAACTGAGTCTCTTCAGTCTGATGGGCATCTGTTACCTCTCTTAGTTTGTGACATCTGCCAGTGTGACTTGTGTGCTTGTCACTGTAACTCTCTCCTGGTCTTCCTGCTTGCCTGTCTTTCTCCTCTCGTGTCTCACAGCTGTCTGTCCGCAGGTGCGTCTGTACGAGTGGACTGCGGAGAAGGAGCTCCGCACCGAATGCAATCACTATAACAACATCATGGCCCTGTACCTAAAGACTAAGGGTGACTTCATCCTGGTGGGGGACCTGATGAGGTCAGTGCTGCTGCTGGCTTACAAACCCATGGAGGGCAACTTTGAGGAGGTAAAAGTGGGAGGAAAAAGCCTATAAACGTGTCAGTTGAAAATATCACAGGCTGTTCGTCTGCTGTACTAATTGTGATCTTTGATCCTTTAGATTGCTCGTGACTTCAACCCCAACTGGATGAGCGCGGTGGAGATCTTGGATGATGACAACTTCCTGGGGGCAGAGAATGCCTTCAACCTCTTTGTGTGCCAGAAAGACAGGTAACTGCAGTCGCGCCCCTCCAGCCCGAGCTCTCTCTTCGCTTCCTCCTGCCGCCCGGCTCTGTGCTTGACTGTCTCCCTCCTCGCCCGCCCAGCGCCGCCACCACGGACGAGGAGCGGCAGCACCTGCAGGAGGTGGGCGTGTTCCACCTGGGCGAGTTCGTCAACGTGTTCTGCCACGGCTCGCTGGTCATGCAGAACCTGGGCGAGAGCTCCACGCCCACGCAGGGCTCCGTGCTGTTCGGCACCGTCAATGGCATGATAGGTGAGGAGAGGTGTGGGGTAGGGGGTAGCTTGGGTGTCCATTCTGGAGCCGGGTGACCCTCCTCTCTCTGTCATTGTCCCTCTCGCAGGGTTGGTGACCTCTCTGTCGGAGGGCTGGTACAGTCTGCTGATGGACCTGCAGAACAGACTCAACAAGGTTATCAAGAGTGTAGGCAAGATTGAGCACACCTTATATCCTTTTGCACTCTTATTGTTGGGTAAAAAATGTAAAAATGTTATTGCTGTTACGAATACTGTAGCCTTATTCCGCTCACTATGGCGCAGCCTGCTGTGCAGTCCTGTCAACAGCTACACGTCCTTAATCTTTCTCACCTGGAGGTCATTCCACACGGAGCGCAAGACAGAACAGGCGACCGGCTTCATCGATGGCGACCTCATTGAGAGCTTTCTGGACCTTGGCCGTGCCAAGATGCAGGAGGTGGTCAGTGGCCTGCAGGTCAGTGCAGCTACAGAACCATCTACGGAAGAGCTGGCGGCTGTTCTGGATGGGATGTAAATTTTTTTTTATATTGTTTACGATCTCTTAGTAGCCTGGGGTGTCTATTTTGTGCATTTTGTGCAGTCTAACGTCTTAGTTAGGCCACTTTTCAAGAAGCAGTGGGAGGAAATGGGAATGACAAACAGCCCCGAGCTCTAAAATGAAGTAAGAGCTCTAACCTGCTGGTCACAAAAGACTGGTTTCTAGAAAAAACACAGGGTCCTGGACAGGAAGCCGGGTCTCCGGGAGGTGGTAGCTGGGGCGAGGGTGTTTCAGGCTGAGGGGGTGTCATGCTGCTTTCCTTGTTTCAGATTGACGATGGGAGCGGGATGAAGAGGGAAGCCGCAGTGGATGAGGTCATCAAGATCGTGGAGGAGCTGACCAGAATCCACTAGCAGAGCTGCTAGGAGGAAGATGGGGGCCTGATGTGTAAATAAGTATAAATAGAGTGACGAGGTGTGAACTGACTGGCTTCTCTACAGGGAGCAGTGGAAGGTGCTGGGAGGTGCTGTACCAACAGATAGGCTGCAGCCTGATTGGAAAACCTCAGTGAGCAGAGCAGTCAAGAGCCAGACCCGTCACTCCACTCCACTGGCGATTTCTACACAGGCAGCAGTTCTTTGTGTGGACAGTTCACGGTTAAGCAGCTGTTGGCCTGGGATGTACTCAAGTTGCGGACAGCAGTGTCAAGTGTATGGGAAGGTATGTTGTCCAGTGTCCACAGCTAGGACGCAGCCGGGCTAGTCTGTCCGAGGGGAGCAGTGTCCTCGGCAGGAGCTGTGGGGCGTCGGCGTGAACCCGTGTTTCTATTGTGAGCCATTGGCTTGTAGTTATTAATAAAGTTTGACAGCTGTACCCTGGTGCTTGTGATTTTTACTGTCTTGGCTGTTGGGGGTGGTGGAGACATCGTTTGTGGAAGTGAGGGCAGGGCAGCCCTCCAGTCCTGCAGGCAGCAGCCTGGCCTCTCAATTCTGACCCTCTTTTCCTAGCTCTTTCAATATTCCCCCTTTTTCTTCATTCAGTCTTGATACTGTCATGACTGCTTTATTGTATTTGAGAATTAAAAGCCAAAAAACAATTGTTTACTGTACATTGTCTGTCTACCCTTTATTGTATATTTGGATCTGCCCAGTGACAGCAGCTATTGTCAAAGTGGGATGAGCAGTTGTCAGTGGGCATTGCTATGGACCTGAGCACACTGCTCTCGTACTGTCAAAGCCCCTGAGGACCTCGCAGACTTCTCCAGAGGCACTTCCAAAGCTCCAGCAAGTTCCTCTGCTGCACGTTCTGAAACCTGGTGTTCGATTTCATGGATATGCAAGTGACACTCAGGTTTACATTTCAACCTGGTTGCTTATCTCTTGACTCCACTTATCTCTTCTCTGTGTAACATCAGACTCTGGTTGACATTGAGTTCCTTGAAGTGAAATAGTGACAAAACGGGAATTTTACGGGTGGGCAGCAAAGGTCTTGTAGAAGCTGGACAGCTTCCCTGTAATGGTGGTAATTCCCCATTCAGAGTCGGCCATAGTTGGGAATCTGGGAGTTACAGAGAATCCTCTTCTGTTGAGCCCCTTGTGGATTTTTTTTTCACTTTGAGAATATTTCCAGCCTTAGGCGGTTTTTAACAGTGAAATTGAGTGCCAGATTTGTGCATTTATAACATCAAGGCCTGATTTTTGCAACTCTTTACTCTTTGGCTCCTTAACATTCTTCTCAACAAGTTGCAGTGTCCCCAAAACTTTGCAGCTAGACTTACTTGCGTCCTCTGCTCACTGTCCCCAGGACTAATGCTCGGACTTCTGGTGAAAGTGCCTCCTCTGGCGCTGCTCCATGGTTATGGAACGTCCGTCCTCCAGAGAAATCCTTCGGATATCTTGAAATCTAAATTCTAAAAAGGGTCTGATTGCTATAAAGTTTATCCTTGTATGTTCTTATTTGCTTTTTGTTGATTTTTTTAGGGTGTTTTAGAAATTGTTAAAATCTATTTTAAAAAAGTTCTTGCTTTCCTCTCATGTACTGACAGAATGCTGAGTATAGCACTCTGGTTTTCTTTTAAAGCAAATTTTATACATAGGCATGTTAAAGTGTTTTAAAGTAAACTTCCTTTCCTGGTTTTTATAAAATGATTTTAACATTGTGAATGAAAATACTTTAGCTGTCCCAGAGCGTTGCAGATTGGGAAGTATAATTGCTGTCGTGAACCACTGGAATCTGTAAGCTGCGTCTCCATCCCGAAGTCACCACTCCTGTATGATGTTAGCTGTCATTTGTGCTTATACAAAAATAACTATTTACAAAGCACCCTTCCTAAGCCAAGTGATAAAGAAGAAAATGGGAAAAAATGTACAAGAATAAACTTGAAGGCAATAAGACTTGGGCCCTAGTGAAAAGAAACATGGGAGTGGACGTGAGAGAGGAAGGCTGCAGTTCCCCACGGTTGTACAAACATCCCTGAGGCCAGATGTGGTGGTGTGGTCCCCAGAGGCACTGAAGATCATCCTCCCTGAGCTGACAGTGCTGTGGGAGGAAGGAGGAAAGATGCCAAATAAGATCTAGTATAAGAGCGCAGAGGCAGGTGTGGCTGTTCCCATGGGTACAGAAGGGTACAGAGGATTCCCTGTACAGTCAGTGTGCAGAGAGCTGGCAGCTGTGAGGCTGACTGGGAGGGACAGGAAGACAGCTGTCTGGGGGCTGGGAGAGGCAGCAGAGAGAGTGCCTCATACTGGCTCTGGAACAGGAGACAGAAGAGAGGAGCTGCTGTAGGCTGGGACTGGCTATCACCTCTGCCCCATCAGGAGGAGAGGGCGTTATGGATGAGGGTGGAAATGCCTGATGAATTGGGTTCCACCTGGTGGCAGTGATTCCTGGCCAACAGCAATAGTCAAAGCAAGTATTGACTAAGGAGAGCAGCAGTAGATGTATACAAGAAGCAATTCTCTGGATACCAAGTGACTCCCGGGAATGGCTGTACGGCAGCCAAGGAACATCAGTGACGCTGGAAAGACATATGACCTCCAGGAAAGATTGGCTCGGGTGTGTGGAGCCCAGGAGCCGGAGTTTGAGCAATACCCCTGGAGTCTCCCAAGGGGGGGGGGGGGTGTCTGAAACAAAGTCATTGCAGGGTAAGGACATCGCAGGACTGAGGATAGATCAAGCAAGGACCAGCTGTGGCAAAGCAGAGGCCCAGGTGCAGCAGTAACTGGTGAGACTCCAGACAGGAAGCACCCCACAGTATTGGAGAGCTCCCAGCACCCACGCCACCCCTGAACCATGAAAGAGGGTCGACTGTTGCTACTCCAGAATCCCCAGAAGGGATCACTTTGGGAAGACAAGAGCACACTGGCCATATTTGGAAATACATGGGAGCATTTTGGAAAACGTGGAACGTTAGGTGGTTATGAATAATTATCTTTGAAAATATTTTTGATTTATAGAATGAAGATGTAAATCGATTAAAAAGGAGCACGAAAAAGAAAAGGTCTAGATCTTTGGGGGAGTTTGTATTCAACTGAGGGAGTAACGGACTGAGTTTGAGCAGAAAGGGATTCAGCCTGTTTCAAAGTCATTTTATACTTACGAACAGGATTTATAAAATATATATTTGGATTTACTGTTTATCAAGGGATATTGGACTTTGCCTCTTGTGTATCTGTTTTGGTGGACATGAATTGAAAGGAAAATCCTAGAAACAACAATCTACAGACCAGTGATGGAAGCACTTTGACAGATAGGGACTCTTAGATAAGTGAACTTTTGTGTCTTTTCTTTACTTATTATAATTATTGGTTTGTTATTGTAAATACATTTGTAACTGTAAAACAATTCACTGACTGCTTTTATTTTTCTGTATCGTAACAGGTGACATTTGGGCAGATTTTATTACGGTTAGGAAGAATAGAGCTCACTGGGGACATTTGGAAGCATTTTGGTAAACTTGGAACGTTAGAAAACATTTGGGAATGCTTGTTATGGTAAGGATTAGGCTGTGGCCATTCGGGTATATTTGGGACTGAAAGAGCACTGTGGAGTACCCTGAGAAGTTTGGCAGAAGTTTTTTGTGTACTGTATATTTAGAAAATAATGGAACTTTTTAGAATATATGGAAACAATAAGAGGTATTTCCAAACATTTGACAGAATTAGGAGACATGTATTCATATGTAGCTAAATTTGGAGCATTTCCAAATATTTGAAACGTACTGGAACATTTTCCAAAACATTTGGATAGCTTTGGAACACTGGGAACAAATTGGAGCGTTTGGGAAGAATACATCACACTGGGGACATTTGTAAACATTCCAGAAAATGTCAGTAAACATGGGAACATTTAGATAGATTTGGAACTTTGGGAAAGAAATTGGAACATTTGGGAAGAAGTACCTCTGTGGTATTGGAATTATTTTAGCTTTTAAAGAGAATTGGACATACTGGGGCCTTGCTGTAGCTTTTGGTTCATTAGAAGCATGAGGGAACAGTTGAGAACACTGGGAACTTTTGGGAACATTTCACAAAATGTAGGAGCATATGGGGACAGTTGAGATCATTTGGGAACAATGGGAACTTTTGGGAACATTTGGTAGTATAGCTACATTTAATAGCATTTACATTCATTTGGAAATATTTGGAATCTTACAAGATCCGTGTGGAACAGTGGTAACTTATGGGAACATTCGAGAGCATTTGAGAACATATGGGAGGGTTTGGGAAGACTGGCCCCATTTAGGAGATTTTGGGTCCATGGCCATCAGCCATGTCAGCCTGCAACTCACAGCTGGCAGCCCCCTGAAGCTCAGCAGTGTGAGCTGGTCAGTACCTGGATGGGAGACTCCTGGGAAAACTGAGGCTGCTGCTGGAAGTGGTGTTAGTGGGGCCTGTAGGGGGCGGTCACGCTGCAGTCTGTGCGGGTCCTAATGCCTCAGTACAGAGATGCGGTCACTATACTGTGAAAAGGCGCCGTCCTTCAGATGAGACGTAAAACAGAGGTCCTGACTCTCTGTGGTCATTAAAAATCTCAGGGCGTCTCTCAAGAAGAGTAGAGGTGTTACCCCGGTGTCCTGGCCAAATTTCCCCCTGGCCTTTACCAGTCATGGCCTCCTAATAACCCCCATCTCTGAACTGGCTCCATCACTCTGCTCTCCTCCCCACTGAGAGCTGGTGTGTGTGAGAGGACTGGAGCATCATCCGGGGGGAGGGGGGGCTCCCCATTACTTGTAAAGAGCTCTGTGTGGAGAGTCCGGAAAAGCGCTATTATTATTATTATTATTATTATTACTACTACTACTACATTGGAAGCATGAAGGAGCAGTTGAGAACACATGAGAGCAGTTTAGATCATTTTGAACATAGCTTTTGCAAACATTTCAGAACACAGGATCAGTATCAGCAAATGGGAACAGTATAGTTCATTTTGGAATAGTTCTAATTTTAGGGAATGTATTAACCCCTCTCTCTCCCAGTGCAGTGTTAATGTACTGGAGTGTCCTGTCAGTGTGTCTGTATTAACCCCTCTCTCTCAGTGCAGTGTTAATGTACTGTAGTGTCCTGTCAGTGTGTCTGTATTAACCCCTCTCTCTCAGTGCAGTGTTAATGT